TAACTTTTACATACTTCTATACGCACGTTAGAAATTTTAGAGCTCAATGGAGATCAGAATTATCGATGAAAGGATATGTTTCACATAAATTAAGAGTTTTGGGGTTTGAATGTGACATTTTAAGAATATTAAAGAGAAAGAGTAATTAAATAAAAGTTGGAGGCGTAGTCGAAAGAAATTGTAGGATAAAAGTAAGGAGAATCAAGAGGCTGGATATTTGTGTAGGGGCGAGTGGAGACACCGCCAAAAGAGGCGGTTGGTGAGTGAGAGAGAAAGAAGAACACAATACATAGTTATTTGTTGCCCACCAACTGTTGTCGGAGTCGGACAACTCTCTTGTACCATTACCATTTTCCCAACATAATAAACACTAGTTTAACTTGACAATAACAAGTTAATTAACATTATTATTATTATTATTATTATGTTTTATTGTTGGTTTAAGATTTTAGTTTCCACGCTAATGCGATATTGGCTCTGTCAGTAAAGATCGAAGTCTTGAGACCTTAAATATTCTAGTTCGAATATATCAATGGTAATTTTATGTATATGTATATTCAATTTAATTAGATAAATTACAACATATAACACTGAATTTTACATATTGGATAATTAATAATAGTAAACTTTCAGTTATTTAAATTATAGTATATAATTTTATTTTTTTCCTTCAATTATACCATTGTGTTATTAAAATTTAAACAACATGATTATGTAAAAGATATTTTTTTAGTATAGTTATCAATGTCTGAAACAATATCGTTTTATGTACTGAACTTTAAGGGTGTATAATTTTGCAACTAAGCTTTTAAGTGGTTCAATTTAGACACCGAACTTTTTTTTGCAGTTAATTGCTTTCATTCCGTATACATCATCTGTGATAAATTAATATCAAAGTATTTGTATTTCACTGTTATTTCTTCTTCTATGATTACTTTTTCATGGAACCCACTCATAATTAGTGAAATACACATGCACACACTATTTTTGGGGGTTTGGAAACTTTCTCGAATGTAAGGGTTTTGGTGTGTTTTTTTGAAAAATTTAATGGCAAGAAGCATTATTTCAAAAAATAAAATAAATAAATAAATAACATGCATCAAAATTTAGATTTATCGAACAACCATAGAATGATATCAAAGTATTATCGGATAAAGGCAAAACTTCATAGGTGCCAAGGGTCCCATAAATTATTTTTTCAAGTATTAATTTATATTAAAAATATATATATTTAAAAAATAAATAAAGAAAAATTTACTAGACCCCTATCAATTAAAAAAATTGTTTATGAAAAATAAAAAAATATTTCAACCCCGCTACAATAAGTTCCTAGTTCCACCTATGTTATCAGACCTTTATATAGATTTTCGTCAATTTTGAGTAGGTTTCATGAAAAGTCAATTCAATGAGAAGAAAGTGGAGTGAAATATAAATATTTTGTTATTGATCTTGCTACGAATGGTGATTAGTGGCCGGCAATGATACATACAGGTGACAAAGAAAAATCCTATCGGATATAAATTTTGTACGAGTCAAAATTAAATTATAAATTTTTTTATGATTTATAAATTATCTTAGGTAATTTAGCTTAATTATCCTAGACTGGGATTTTAGAGTGTTACAACTCTCCCCTTCGTCCTCAAATTCTTACCTGAATGAAATATATGAGGATATTGTTTTCTCATTGTATCCTCGAGTTTCCAGGTTGCTTCTTCCATCTTATTATTTATGATGTGATCCTATCTAACACCAACTTGCTTCATGACATGTTTACATCATTAAAGATCCACCAAATTCAATCTAAGGGAGTTCTATCTTACTTTATCATATATTTACTCATTTATGCTCTATATATATTTATGAGGATACATTTGCATATTAGACTATACTTAGGTTCGAAATACAAACATCTGTAAAATAAAGGGAATAATTCCTAAATATTCCATTATTCTTAGCTTAAAACAAACATTAAAAATAAAAAGGGAAATTACTAAATTGGTCCCTAGGCATTTAAAAAAATAAAAAACATCACTACACATGACCAAAATATAAAAACACGCGAAACATACATGGACTAAATAGAAAATAACCCTAAAAATAAATATCATGCATAAAATGAGTAAATTACAAAAATAGTCCCTACAAGTGACTAACATGCGAAAAATGTGTAAAGTAAGGGGACTAAAAGGAAATTAAACCAAAAATTGCAAAGCATAAACAAAAATGGGTAAATTATGAAAACAATCCCTACACGTGGATATTTTGCAAAAAGGCTCTAAAAGTCGGGGGACTAAATGACAATTTTCCTCGAAACTTCCTCTATAAATTTTGAGTAGGTTTGGTGAAAATCAATTGAATGAGAAGAGAGACGAGTGAAATATAAATGTGTTGATATTGATCTTGCTACGAATGGTGATTAGTGGCAGGCGATGATCGATTACCAGCAACAATAAAAAAATTAGTGCTAAAATTGAACATCTTAAAAATTTAGTGGTACAATCAATATACTCTTAAAGTTCAATGCTGAAAATGATGTCGTTTTAAACATCAATAACTACACTACAATGATATCATTTTGTTTATATTATCACAATGACATGAATATATATTTACATCTTCGTGTCATTAATATTTAATGATTCACTGTAATAATTAAAATTAAAACTAAAATTTAATATTATAATTAAATATTTGAAAGTTAATTGATATAAATTATACACTATCTAAAATTCATTAATATATATATTATAGTTTAAACTAAAATTTATTTCGAGATGATTTATAATTTTTTTTTCTAGAGGTATTGCTTTAGAGTTACAACTCCTTTATCCCAAGATACAACTCGATAGTATACATTCATAAAAAAAGGCATTGTCATGTCACACTCCTGATATGATCCTGGTTATTTTCGTGTCACATTTTTTAACTTAAAGAATGTGTTGTTTTTTTTAATCAGTTTGTTCCGAGATTATTAGTTCTACTGTAACTCATAACATTGATCATAATTAATATATTAGAAGAGATGAATTGAATCGTTTTCGTCAAAATATAAATATATGTTTATATTAGGAGAGATGAATCACAATTAATCGATCGATTTATCACTATCATCTATCCTTCAAATTACGAGTAACAACCACCTTATTAATTTTGGACATTAATATATATGTCTTTAGGTATGTGACCGTCTAGGACGTTCATTATGAAAAAAAATTAAATAACATTATTGTTTGTTCTAAACATGTTTATCATTTTAAATTATACCAATAATAGTTAGTTAATTGATTACTCAACAACTGTTTATAATATTTGGAACATAATATTTTTCTTAATAGTTTTAATATTTGCATAATATTATTCCTTTAATTGAGACAATACCAGATGAGTTTGAGTTGTCGGGTTTAGTGATTGTTGGATACGTGTTAGTAGGTCTTGCTCTTTTAACATTAATTAATCAACACTCCTAGATGTTACAATTTGGCTTAACAAGCGACTTCGTTGCATGAATGATGATTGTAATAGAAAATAATTTCTAACAATACAGTTTAAAATTTAACTGTTTAGTATTATTGTTAAAAAAATGAGTTTGAAAGTATAGCAAACAAAAAAAAGTTTGAAAAGATAAAATGTCTATTATAGACATTATGTTATAAATTTAGAATATATTTAAATTATATTTACACTTATTAATAATATGATATATAATATATATATATATATATAATTATAATTATAATAAAAATATATTTATAATAATTCACTATTAATATTTTAATATATAAATCATGAATTTTATTTAATTTTAAGTAATTAAAATAAATTATTTTTTAAGGATGTTAATATTAAATTATTAAAATAAAATATAAATACATAATTAAGTGAAGCTCATGGATTAATAAAGTTAAAATTATAATTTGATTCTAAAGGCAAAGCTGAAAATAAAAAAGTTACAAATCCTAATTTTTCGGTTGGTTTGAAACTACTGTTTCCCCCGCAATTTTTTTATTATTTACTTGTTTAACATTGATTTTATCGTCAAAATGGACTTTTTAACTAAAAGTACTTTTAGAAAACCACACCATATGAGACCTAAGTGATTAAAATTTATCAAATCACACTTTATTTCTCTTCTAAATTATGGGTTTAATATTGGTTTGGAGCAAAATTTCCTTCTCCCCCTCTTAGATGGAAGTTGTGCAATAATAATAATAATAATAACAACTTACACTTGTAAATAGGAGTATTCAAACGTTTAATTCGGTCACCAACCGAACCGAATTAACATAACTTTTTTCTTTAACCGTTAACCGAATCGAAATTTATTTGAAAATTATTAATCGAACCGAACAAATTTCAGTTAATTTTCGAATTAATCGGAAATTTTTAATTTTTTTAATTTATATAAAAATTGAATATTTTTAATTAAAAAAACAATTTACAATTTATTTAAATAATATATAATTATAAAATGAAAATTTTATATGGATTTTTTTAATTAATTAATATTGATTTATGTTTAAAAGTTATTGGATTTTAAATTATTAATTGGGTTTTAAATGGTTTGAGCTGAGTCCATATGTTATATATATAATATATTTAATGTTTAAAATTTAATTTCGGTTAATTCAGATAATTAATCGATTTCGAACCGAATTAACCGTTAAATGAATTCTAAAAAATTATTAATCGTTCCCCGATCAAACTAATTCGGTGTCTGACAGAATTAACAGAACTAATTCGATTCGATCAGTTAATTCGGTTAAAACGAAAATGAACACCCTACTAGTAAATAGGCTAATCTATGAGCTCGGCTGAGTTAAGTTGTGACCCAACTTTCAGAAAACCTGTTTGGTTCAAAACAGGCTTTAGCCCGGTCTAATGGCCCATTTATTTTTTTTGAAATTTGTTTTACATTATGGAAAATTCTTTCGTATGCAATTTGTGGAGTTCTTGAAAAAATAATCAAAATTAAACGGATGATAATATGATATATAAAATTCTCTCTCCTTTGAATAACTCCTCAATCTTTCGTTAAATCCAACTTGAAAAAGCCCCTGAAATTTCCCAATTTCGAAACCCTAAAAACCACGATCTGTCCTTCCCCTCCTTTTAAAACCTAACCGTACGAATCCTTCAGAGAGCTCCATTATTTGTCTCTCTCCAAACACCGATGGGTTCATCTCCTGCCCAAGGCGATGCTCTGGGGAGACTTGAATACCTCTCCCTCGTCTCCAAGGTAAGCTCCGAGCTCGAGAGCCATGTAGGGTTTTCCGACAAGGTTTTGGCGGAATTCATCACCGATATGGGTCGCCACTCCGAGACCGTTGATGAATTCGATGCCAAGCTGAAAGAAAACGGTGCCGAGTTACCCGATTACTTTGTCCGTACGCTTCTTACCATCATCCACGCTATTCTGCCACCAAAGCCCAAGGCTGAGAAGGAATCCAAGAAGGAGAACGCAGCTGATGGTAAGAAGTCTAAATTTAAAGCTTTAGCAATTGCAGATGATAAAGATAGAGCAAAAGAACTAGAGAAGGAAATTGTGATGGAGGCTCAAGACAGAAGAAAAGTAGAGGATAGAGATAGAGATAGAGATGGGGAAAGAGACAGAGGCAGGGATCGAAGGGATAAGGATAGAGATAGGGGTAGGGATAGAGATAGAGATAGGGGTAGGCATAGAGATAGAGATAGAGAGGCTGGTGATGATGATAGGAGGGATTATGGCAGTCGGGGAAGAAATAGGGATCGAACCCGAGACAATAGAGACAGTGATGATGATAACAGGGATTATAGGAGCAGGGGCAGGACCAGGGACCATGATAATATGGAAGGTGAGGAAGGAGGGGGTAGGAGAGGTAATGGTACGTATAAGGATAATGAGCCTGAGTTATATAAGGTATACAAGGGGAGAATTTCCAGGGTGATGGATTCAGGTTGTTTTGTGCAATTGAATGAGTTGAGGGGAAAGGAGGGTTTGGTTCATGTTTCCCAGATGGCTACTAGGAGGATTGCCAATGCTAAAGATGTTGTGAAACGGGATCAGGAGGTTTATGTGAAAGTAATTTCAGTTTCAGGTCAGAAGTTGAGTTTGTCTATGAGAGATGTTGATCAGAATACTGGTAAGGATTTGCTGCCATTGAAGAAGACTTCGGATGATGATGCTTTTAGGACAAATCCTTCAGGGGGAAAAGAGGGACGTGTGATGAGAACTGGCCTTTCAGGGATTAGGATTTTGGAGGACGAGGATGTTGCCCCATCGCGCAGGCCATTGAAGAGAATGAGTTCACCAGAGATATGGGAAGCCAAACAGTTGATGGCTTCTGGTGTTCTGAGAGTAGATGAGCATCCCATGTATGATGAGGACGGAGATGGAATGCTTTATGAAGAAGAGGGTGCTGAGGAGGAGCTTGAGATCGAAATAAATGAGGACGAACCTGCCTTTTTGCAAGGGCAGACTAGGTATTCTGTGGATCTCTCCCCAGTAAAAATATTCAAGAATCCAGAAGGTTCCCTTAGTCGTGCTGCTGCTCTTCAATCTGCACTTATTAAGGAACGGAGAGAAGTCCGGGAGCAGCAGCAGAGAACAATGCTTGATTCAATTCCCAAGGATCTGAATCGTCCCTGGGAAGACCCAATGCCAGAGACTGGTGAGAGGCATCTTGCACAGGAGCTGAGAGGTGTTGGATTGTCAGCATATGATATGCCTGAATGGAAGAAGGATGCTTATGGAAAAGCTTTGACTTTTGGGCAGAGATCTAAACTTTCCATCCAAGAGCAGAGGCAGAGCTTGCCAATTTATAAACTGAAAAAGGAGCTGGTTCAGGCTGTGCATGATAATCAGGCTCTGGTGGTCATTGGTGAGACTGGGTCTGGTAAGACTACCCAGGTAACCCAATATCTTGCCGAGGCTGGTTACACTACTAGGGGTAAGATTGGGTGTACACAACCTCGAAGAGTGGCTGCAATGTCTGTGGCGAAGAGGGTAGCTGAGGAATTTGGTTGTCGATTAGGGGAGGAAGTTGGCTATGCTATTAGATTTGAAGATTGTACTGGACCAGATACCGTCATAAAATATATGACTGATGGTATGCTTCTTAGGGAAATTCTGATTGATGAGGATCTTTCTCAATACTCGGTCATTATGCTTGATGAAGCTCATGAGCGTACGATTCACACTGATGTTCTGTTTGGGTTGCTGAAGCAACTTCTGAAGCGGAGAGCTGATCTTCGTCTGATTGTTACATCGGCTACATTGGACGCAGAGAAGTTTTCAGGGTATTTCTTTGACTGCAGTATTTTCAGTATTCCTGGGAGAACATTTCCTGTGGAGATACTCTATACAAAACAACCTGAGAGTGACTACCTTGATGCTGCCCTTATAACAGTCCTACAGATACATTTGACTGAACCTGAAGGTGACATTCTCGTTTTCTTGACTGGTCAGGAGGAAATTGATTTTGCATGCCAATCACTTTATGAGAGGATGAAAGGACTAGGTAAAAATGTTCCTGAATTGATCATTTTACCAGTTTATAGTGCCCTCCCTAGTGAGATGCAGTCTAGGATTTTTGATCCTGCCCCTCCTGGGAAAAGGAAGGTCGTAGTGGCGACCAATATTGCTGAGGCTTCCTTGACTATAGATGGAATATTTTATGTGGTCGATCCTGGTTTTGCTAAGCAAAACGTTTATAATCCAAAGCAAGGGCTTGATTCCCTTGTCATAACACCAATTTCACAAGCTTCAGCAAAGCAACGAGCTGGGCGTGCTGGGCGTACTGGACCTGGAAAATGCTACCGCTTGTACACGGAGAGTGCATATCGAAATGAGATGTCTCCTACATCAATTCCAGAGATACAAAGGATTAATCTTGGCATGACAACACTAACAATGAAGGCCATGGGCATAAATGATCTCCTTTCTTTTGATTTTATGGATCCACCTGCACCTCAAGCTCTCCTTTCTGCCATGGAGCAATTATACAGTCTTGGAGCTCTAGATGAGGAGGGGCTTTTAACTAAATTGGGTAGGAAAATGGCTGAATTTCCTCTTGATCCACCTCTATCAAAGATGTTACTGGCCAGTGTGGACCTTGGCTGTAGTGATGAGATATTGACAATTATTGCAATGATCCAAACTGGTAACATCTTCTACAGACCAAGGGAAAAGCAAGCTCAAGCTGATCAGAAGAGGGCCAAGTTTTTCCAGCCCGAGGGAGACCATTTGACTCTACTTGCTGTATATGAGGCTTGGAAAGCTAAGAACTTTTCAGGGCCTTGGTGTTTTGAAAATTTTGTTCAGTCTCGATCTTTACGGAGGGCACAAGATGTTAGAAAACAACTTCTCAGCATCATGGACAAGTAAGTTCTTGCTCTTGGTTTTATAGTATCTTTTGCTAATTGTCTCTGATTTTTTTATATCTTTCTTTATATCTAAGCTTTTATGATTTTAGATTTTAATTGTGTCCTACACTGTTAATTTTAAGATGTATTTGAGCTTACACTTTTTGGTTATCGCTAGTAGAATGCATCTTTATGATTATTACTACAGTGATGACCATTAACTGCTTCACAAGTTGAAAAATGCATAATTTTGCTTTAGCTTAATTGGCTGGGAAGTTCATCACCAACTTGCTTTCCAAGTTTCTTTCATTTTTGGTGACAGATTAGGGATTGTCGATGGTCATTTAGAGACTACAGAGCTTATGTTGAATCTCTCTTTTCTCTGGACACGCTTTATTTCTTTTGCGTTATTTTGACTAGTCTCTTGTTAGTAATATTTTCACATGTTCCAAAGCATCAACCAGCAGTCTTTCTCATTCTCAATTTGTTAGTTTTGAATCTGTTGTGTTCTCTACTAGTATCGAGAATTATTACCATTCTAAGTGGTTTATACTTGGCCTTTGAGGTTCTAACCTGAACGGGTGATGTTTTTTCAGGTACAAACTGGATGTAGTGAGTGCAGGAAAGAATTTTACAAAGATCAGGAAAGCAATCACAGCAGGGTTCTTCTTCCATGCAGCAAGGAAGGACCCACAGGAGGGATATAGAACTGTGGTGGAGAACCAGCCTGTTTATATTCACCCAAGTAGTGCCCTTTTCCAGAGACAACCGGACTGGGTGATCTACCATGAGCTGGTAATGACTACAAAGGAGTACATGCGAGAGGTGACAGTGATAGACCCGAAATGGCTGGTTGAACTTGCTCCTAGATTCTTCAAACAGGCAGATCCCACAAAAATGAGCAAGCGCAAGCGCCAAGAACGCATTGAGCCTCTTTATGATAGATATCACGAACCTAATTCTTGGCGTCTCAGTAAACGACGAGCCTGATCTGCGTGTAATTCTCCTTTAACTGAATTTTGTTGATTTATGCAATCCTTTGCTTTCTAATTTCTTACTTTTCTGTTAAAGTTTTACGAGAAATTAACCGACACTGACTAGCTTTAGACGAAGTAAAAAAACAACCTTGATGATTTTGGCGTATAAAGATAAATCATGAAGTGAGAATTATGATAAAACAAATTAAGTCCACGTATTTCATTCCATATAACATTTTCACTCCCATTGGGCTCTTGCTTCCTGTTGTCCCACTATTAACCAGTATGTTATAGCGTAAACATCATAATAAGAAATGGATTGTACAGTGTAGTGTAACTTTTATTTGCCAACCGGTATCTACCATCATCACCATTCCAAATCACATCATACGTGATACTGAAGGTTTCCCCCTCTATGTGGGAACGGAGTTTCGAATCCGAAATCCTCAATGAGGATTCCACAACTGATTCAATCATCTTACAATGGATTGTTTCACGTAATCTTATATGCTTTTTAAAAACGTTTGCCCATTCACGTAATCATCTTGGAACTTATGGCAACTTGTTACCACTGATATTTTGTTATGACCCTAGGAGATTAGAGAAGAAAATTAGACGAAGAATGGAGAGAATTGAGATTTAAGGAGAGAAAAGAAAAGATTCAAGAAGCTTAGAATTCATTCAATCAAAAGTATATTTTCTCCTCCTCTAGTACATGGTTTATATAATTACAGTGTTCCCATAGTTACCCTACAGCTGGCAGTCCTTGTTGTACTGATTATAACCACCTGCACAGCTAAGCAAGATGTTTATTATCCTTAGTGGCTGTAAAACGTGTTAGGTCCAGTCCCAATTCCAAATCTCTAACCCTTTTTTTGATTTCCCCAATTCTCTTGCTCCGATTCTTATCGCTTCTCCTCTGCTCGTGACAATACCCTCCCCACGAAATGATCCTTGTCCCCAAGGATCAAAATCTGAGAATTGTGCTGAAAGTACAATATAATTTACCACAGTGACAATTTCCAGTCCTAATTTTATCCACTGCATCTGATTGTGTTCCTACTCCCGACGTTTGTCGAGCATTATAGAACCATAGAACCTTGCTGCCAGCTTTAATCCCTTTCGAAGAGCAAGTGAGGTTTGATGGTAAGACCGAAACTTCAGGTAAATTCTGTCCTCTGTTTTTATACCTCTGCCTTTCCTGAGTAATGCCCTTGTCAGAAATACAGCAGAAGGGACAAATAATTGGGGACAATAACGAATGCATCTTGATGGCAGTAGAAAACAATCATCTGCGATGTCTGGTCTTGTAGTGAATTCCTTAATACTCGTTAGAAGGGACGATGTGTGCTTGAAGAGCACTTCAGTCATATTTTTAAGGTAACTTGCACAAGAAGGGTCAGAGCCAAATATCTTTATAACTTCACTAGAGAGATAAAGGAAGCACAGCTGGTGGTGGTGTTGATACATGCCTTGGATTTCTTCAAGCATTGCTCCAATTGTTGTTCTCATAAACCTTCCATAAGTTCTCACAACATATTTGCAAGCACGACAAAGAGAATCCATGGTTCTCATGTCCCAAGCGCGAAGATCAAATATGGCTTTGAATATTGGCCAAAGCCTGTGAACTAAATCAGCAACTGCTTCAGGATGATTTACATACCGGAAGATATAAGCAAATCAATCTATGTGAACTGTTAATTCACTAGCATGTTTCTTCTCTAAAACTTCTGGACCTTGGTTAATAACTGCCAGTAAAGGAGTAACAACTGATGCGCATAGTTCCTCCAAAGCAGCCTTAGCAGGCTCTGATGGAAGTTCAGTAATAACCATGCTTAAAGCTTCAACTAAGTGTAATGAATCTTCAGCAGAGCCCTTAAAACTACCTTCACCATTAATTGTTGTATAGTATATATGGAAAAGCTCTTTACAATATGTAGAAAGCTTTTTACTGTAATCATCACAGATGTGTCTAAATGCCAAAGCAGCAGCTGCAGCAGAATCTTCAGAGGTATGCATCCCACTCATGAGAATATTAATCACCAAAAACAACTTAGAGAAACCACTTGGTGCAGCATCAAGCCACTTAGAAAATGCTCCAATTATTAAGCAATCCATTTGGAGAAGTTGCGGCTGATGAAACAGTTTCGGAAGCAGATCCATAACATGAGGCATTACATTTGTTTCAATGACCGATACAAAACTTGATATAGCTCGAATGCAAAATAAAGCAGCCTCAGCTGGATGCCATTCACTTTGTTCATTTCCACAACAAGATATTGCCTCTAATAGCTTCACATAAAGAATTTGCACCGTTGCATTGCCGCCTAAAATTGATGCCGCATCCGTTAACACATCTGTAACATCATATCTTGTATCCGCAAGAGCGAGAATAGTCTCTCGGAACTTGTGGTCGGCTTCTTTAACCGCCTTGCTGTCTTCTAATCCAGCATCCTCAAAAGCTGAGAAAGCATCTGCAGACAAAACTTCTGCCCACTTGTAACTGTAGTATCCAGCAGCATATCCACCTGCAAATATATGGTTGAAAGCACAAAAAAATCTATCTTCCGGCAATGGAGGGATTACCTGTGTTTTTCTAGAAACTCTCTGATCAACATCATAAACAGATTCAGACCCATCTGGTATATATTTTGTATGCAACTCCAAATCCAGGCTAGAAAATTTAATCTGACGAAGACTTAGAGAACCAACACAGAAAGTCCTTGCAGCAAGGAGCTTCAAATATACCTCTTCAGGCAGGCTCTCCCCTGTTTGATAATGTTTTGCAATGCTCATCAGTGTATCCCTGTGATAACACCAATTTTCCATGAACTGGGACGGTAACTCAACAGCATCCTACTCAATCCCCCGAATGCCAGCTACTAGACCCTCATCTTGCTTAGTCAGCATATGCTGAAGTGCATGACCAAATTCATGGAAGACAGTTTCTACTTCACGGAATGTCATGAGGCTTGGCTTGTCCCCGAATGGTAGTGTTTGATTAAACACCATGTGGGCAATAGGTAATCTTGAGGTGGTACCATTACGTGACAGTACTCGACTTCAAGAAACGACCTCATCCATCCATGCACCTCCCCTTTTCTCTGATGGACGAGAGTATGGATCAAAATAAAAGTAGGCAATTGGACTACTTGAAGAGTCTTTGACACAGTAGAACCGCACATCATTATTCCAGACAGGAGCCAGACCATCAACTGGTTCAATATCAATCTCGAAAAGTACCTTGGAAAGGTTGAAAAGGCCATCCATAACCTTTGAAAATGAGAAATATGGTCGGAGTTCTTCCTTATTGATGTTGTATTTTGACTCACGAAGCTTCTCACTCCAGAAACTCATGTCCCAATGGCTCAAATTATCAGCTTCAGGATTACCTTGACTTTTGGAGAAACTTTTTAAGTCTTCAAAATACTGGACAGCAGCATTCCATGAAGCACTCCGAAGCTTTTCTAGTAGTTCCTCAGATTTATCAACAATTGCCATTTTTGTTGCTATGCTTACCTCAACATAATTATTGTAATTGAGAAGCTTAGCCTTCTCCAACCGAAGTTTCAATATATGATTGATGATTGGTGTATTATCCAAATCACCACTTGATGCCCGTTTTATATAAGTACAGTAAACTTCCTCACGCAAAGCACGATTACGAGCATGTTGCATAACTGAAATAAAACTCGGAGCATCAAGCGAAATCACCCATTCCAGTTTTTGTTCTTCAGTCCACTCACGGTCGGAACCACTTTCCAAGTGTTGGGTACAAGTGATGGATGGCATTTTATCAAACACTTGACACCCATCATTTGTGCCTTCAATTGCAGCAGGTAACGACCCCGTTTCAGTGCTGTTTTGGTCTTGCTCCACCGTCTTTCCTGTCAAGACCCTTAAAATCTGCTCGAAATAACCCTTATTCTTTGCAATCCTTGTCTCCAGGTATTGCTGATCTTGCTTCACCAACTTTGCTAAGTCATCAATCTGGTTTTGAATTACAGAAAGAGCAGAGGATTCAGCCATTGTTTTGCCAGGAGTTGTGGCTCTGATTACCAATTGTTATGACCCTAGGAGATTAGAGAAGAAAATTAGACGAAGAATGGAGAGAATTGAGATTTAAGGAGAGAAAAGTAAAGATTCAAGAAGCTTAGAATTCATTCAATCAAAAGTATATTTTCTCCTCCTCTAGTACATGGTTTATATAATTACAGTGTTCCCATAGTTACCCTACAGCTGGCAGTCCTTGTTGTACTGATTATAACCACCTGCACAGCTAAGCAAGATGTTTATTATCCTTAGTGGCTGTAAAACGTGATAGGTCCAGTCCCAATTCCAAATCTCTAACCCTTTTTCTGATTTCCCCAATTCTCTTGCTCCGATTCTTATCGCTTCTCCTCTAATCGTAACATATTTTCAGGGTTCATGCTACATTCAAAACTGTAACACTAGTAGGAACTGAAACCAGTTTGATCTTCCATGCAAGAATTACTCCGAGACTACCTCCACTGATGGATTCTCAGTCAATGATTGTACCATTGGCGTTGTCTAATCCAGCATCACCTATGCAAGGCCATATTTCCTCATCAGGTTTCCATACCCACCTCCGGAAAAGTGACCACCAACTCCAATAGTTGGATAAACCCCGACCAAAAAGCCATAAGAATCAGTTTTATCAGTTATCCTGTACTGAAGTTTGCCGATAGTTGTTCCAGCTTCAACTTGTTAGAAACATCTACAGTAACTATAAAGCTGGTCGAACATGTCACACGACAAAAGGAACCTCCAAAACATAAGAGAGGCCCTCATAATCATGGACACCACTTTGGATTCTGATCAAATAACAGTTGCCTGGACGTGGGATCCAAGCATGGCAGCTACAATAACTAGATGTTTTGACGGTGGCTTTTGTTGAAAATCCAAGGCCTTTAGCATACGCTTGAACAACAGCTAGAAATGGCGGCATTGAAGAAAGCTGCTTTGAATTGAGTCACGAGTGGCCCAACAAACTAAACCTAAAACAAATGAGATACGAGCAATATTGTGGAGCACAAAAAATCCTGAACTTCTTTTCTTGGCAAATGACTTGGATGGATCTCTTCCATCCACACATGCATACATCTCACTAGATTTGGGCTATTTTTCTAAGCAACATTAACATAATACAATGCAAAAGAAAAGTCAATTCCAGTAGCAACACTTCAATTTTAGGGATGGACCAAGAAAGTGTCGGAAGGTGCAATCAAGTTTTTGAAAATTTTAAATATATTATTTATATTTCTAATGATAATTTAATTTTGTATCGTCTGAAATTTTATAATTTTACATCTTAGATTTTTTTACACAAATTCCTAAATTATCATTTCTAACATAAAATCATACGCCGGTTTCTGGTGTTTCATCAAGAAAGAAGTCTCTCAACGCTTAATCCATAGTCATACAATTCAAAATTGGACCGACACCATGGCCTATCATCAAAAGTCATTATATACACCCGTCACCCTGCCAAAGTTCATTGAATCAGACCACCATGAAATACTAATAATAATATTATTACAAGGAAAACTAGAAATATACAAACATGGGGGAGTGTCACGTACCTTGTTTCGTACCTTCCGCACACAGACCTGCAAAAAGCATGTTTCAGCAACAGAAACCAGAGGATTGCTTATGGAGACAACCTTGTGACAATACTCACTTATACTACATCAACAGGCCGACCTTGGGATCCCGATTCCGATGAATAACAATTCCATTGTCACATTTGTTTATAAAGTGTGCCCTTCCACTGATGTCGTAGAGATTAGGAGGAGCCCCGATCCGATCGTGCAACTGATAAACAAGCATAAAATTAGTACAAAGTGATACCAGGCAACAAAAGATAACTTGGTGAGACCAACCTGTCTCGGATGTGCAACAAACCAGACATGACAAGAGTGGTGCTGAGCAAATTGTTTTATCTTTGTAAGCATCTGGCTTACGTACTCCGTTTCAGTCCTGTTGTGGATATAAGATGTTAATAACTGGGGCATTTAGGCAGCCAGCAAATGAGGAGAACTCGGAATGGGCAAAAGTAAAGACAGTTTTGAAACAATTATGAAGCTTTGCTTATACTTCTACCAAAAGTATAATTTTAAGCAAAATACACACTCAGGTAGTTCTAATTGTAGCAATAATAGTACCAAGGCTGCCCCTGACATTCCCAACTATCAAGCAGGTTAGCCATTGGCATAAAAACTAAATTATATACATGTATTTCATGGATAAATTCTTCAAGGCACCCAGAAAAGTGACAACTATACTATTGAAGAAAAAAAGGAGGAGATTGCTAATATAATAGCAAAACAAATAAGGTAAACGTGAGCATTGTGTAAAAAGAACTCACTGATTAGCATGGTGCCGTCAAATTCATTGTATGGATCAATTACAAGCCCCCTAACACCATGCCTTAGTACTACTGCCCTTGCAAGATAAAGAACCCACTCGATACTTGGAAGAGAATCATTCTCGCACCTATTCCAGAACCCATGAGATAAATCTAGAAAGCACGCACAACAACAACGGCATACAAGGGCCTCAATTTTTAAAAGTATTCAAGCTTATACCGAACTGTAAACCCCCCCAAACCACACACACACAAATGCGCACAATAAAAAACTTACAAGAAGAAGAAGATCGAAAGGAAGGCTTATAAAAAATTATCAACATTTCAGCAATCAAGCAACAATTTGGAAAAGTATAGAATCAAAGTCTCAATCAGCATGAGCCCCTATAATATCAATGAATAGTTGTCAAAATTTTAGTAAGAGAACATAAAGCACGTAACTTTGAAGTGCTCAACTTACCTTATGAGATAAAATGTGTCACTCAACCATTTCTTCCCTTCCTCTAGTTCCCGAACACTCGTTCTTTCTACATTGCTTCCATATCTATTGCCAGCAAACGAACCAATTGGTGATTATTATATTGAAACAAGGTAGTTCAAAGAAGCCACATTTGCAAACATATAAAAATTGGTTTAATTTCCATGTATTCATTAGTTTTACAAACCATCTCGTGGGGGATGATATACTAGTTAAAGATTCAAGTAAAAGAGAATTTAGGTATTTGGGTGGACTTGGATGATTAAATTATTGAGATTTCTGAATATCTCAATTGTAGGTTACCCTTGCAACATATGTTAGATTTGGTGTCTCGTTAATGTATATATGCATATTTAGGTTTTATGGTATTTGGAGGTAGACTTTGATTAATAACTTATTTAGGTTTCTGAATATCAAAGTTGAGGGCTACTTGACTGCATAAGTTATAGTTGGTGTTCCATGTTTTCCTTAAGATTTTGTGCTTAGTTATAAACATCTATGTTATTCCAGTTATGCATATATACATTATTTCTTGAGGGAATTATTTTCACAATGCTTGATCTAAATCATAACTTTGGCTACAATGAAACAGACAATCATCATTTTATTTTGAATATGCAACTCTAACATAGTCAAGAACAAGGATATCTTACAGTTCTCACATCAGACCAAACACATAAGTAAAACGATCAGTTCAAAATTCTTCGATATTTTTCTTACATATCCTGTAAATAGCCAATTATGAGGACCTAAATGAACTAAAATTATTAAGCACCCCCATACAACCAAAAAGCTTTTACAAATTGTGTTCGCAAATAATTTTAAGGTATAAAGAATTTTTTTTACTACATCTAACAATGCTACAAGAGTAATAATTGGAACTCAAACCAACTAAACTTACCCAAAGAACGGTCTCTGTACGTATTTCTCTATGAGTTTCCTTGCATGATCCCGAACCTTGGTCAACAAATAACAGGGAAATAGTGAGATTAATGCAAGTCAAAAGGATGTTAAATAGCATGATTAACAATAACAACAATATTATTATAGTGATTATCTTATGTTTATCTAGAAGGAAATGCACTCACATATATGTGTATGATCTAATATAGGCGGCTAGCGCAGATAAGTTCCACAGCTAAGGGTGGTGAAAAGAAAGAGAAAGGCATAAACACTGGTTGGCGGTGAGAAACAGGAACCCTCACCCGCATGACCAGCCAACCAAATTTCCAGCAAACTATGCGAAAGGCATTCCAACCCTATGAAATATCGCCTCAATATAATAATGTTTACTTTGATTGGTCGTCCCTCCACCAATCCTTCTCATCACGTCAGTTCTAAGTTATATGTGGAATGCCAATTCATCCGTTTCGCCCTGTTTGTTTGTACTTGTATATCTATAATATATATATATTTGGAGCAAGTATAATAGCTTGTTACGTAACTGTTAATATAATTATGTATAATTATGTCAACAATCTATAAACCATGTGGATAAAAGTTCTAAGTGGACACATCTTCTCTCTTTTTATGTTGTAGGTTCAAGAAGCGATATTTTTTCTATTTTCTCTCCTACATAAAAATGATGGTTGATAATACAAAGAATTTCACATTGGATAGGAACCTTTAGACTTAATTCGATTCGTTTCATGAGTGTTTCTTTATAAACAAGATCCTTCAAGAAAAGTATTATTAATCAGAGTTTATATTTTACCATTTATAGTTGTTACAAAATAATGTTTATGATCATTAAATGGTGTTTATTACAATTAATTATTTTGTAGCTTGTAGACACATTTTTTTACCGAAGCCTACATATACATGTATTATATATATATATATATATATTATATGTAGTATTATTATTTTATTAACAAATATTCCTTTTATTATTTACAGGCCCAATACATCAAATAAAACGGCCTAACAATGGTCCATTTTCAGCAAGCCCAAGACCCATGGCACCCCTAACCCAGATCAGTTAGGGTTTCTCAAACCCTAGCAGTTTCTCACCAACGCCGCATCTCCAAGACTCCATGGGTATCACGCCGCTTCAGCCCTCTTTTCACTCCTTCATCTCTGAGTTTCACGATCGTACGTCTTGTCTCCAACAACCCCAAAATATCCGACACAAGGAACACCAACAACGAACAACCCAAAACAACCACAGTAGAGTTCGATTAGGACTCAAATTAGGCTAAAAATAGCATGCACTTTGTATATAAATAGGCATGTAATCGACCATTGGTAACACACGATTTGATACTAAATACAAAGCAAAAATTACGAAGCAATACTCGGAGCACTATTTTCGTTTTCGAAGGGAACTACTAGGTAAAGAAAATCTTACCTTTTTTTCGTCGTTCTTCGTTTGCATGAGATCCGTTGTGTTAGTTTTTTTCTTTTTCCTTTCGAAGAGCAGATGACCAAAAGGGGGAGGGTTTCGAAGTTTCGAACCTAGATCTACTCCCCTTGAGGCTTTTTTCAAAAAAATATTTTGATATTTGAGGAGAGCATGCGAAGAGGTTTTCAAAAATGCAAAAAAAATAGTTTTGCCGCCGATGACCGGCGGCCGACGAGTCGGCGCCACCGATTTTCTGGAAACACGCGACGGCGTGTTCATCACTCGGATGAACAAATATGAGAAAAATAACGAGATGGGGGGAGAGCTTTTGCTTGAGAAGAGAAGAAATGAAGCTTAAAAAAAGGTTGGCGTATATATTAAGCCCGTTGGACCCGCGTGTTGACTCGACCCAGAGCCTCTGACCAGCGTGTTTTTTTAAAAAAAATGGGTTAATTCCATTTTGGTCCCCCTTATTTTAAAAAGCTTCTATTTTGACCCCAATTTCGCTTTAAATTGATCTCTAATTTTGATTTTCTTTTAATTTGGCCACCCAACTTGCTTTTTAATTCAATTTAATCCTTATATTATTACTTTTATTATTTTATATTATTTATTTTGTTATATATATGTATATTTTATTTACATACTTATTATTATTAATATATATTTTTATTTATTTTTATTTGATTATTTCTTTATTTAATTACTATATCTTATAATTGTATATATATATATATATTTCTATTCATTTTTGGCTTTTTACTATCATATTATATTATTTTTTTAGTTTTTTTACCTTTATATATATACATCACTTTTTTCTTTTATTCCTATACTATTTTTCCCTTGCTTTTATTTATTTATTTTATTGTGAATATTACTTTTACTATATTTGCCCATATTTTATTTATTTCATTTTTTCTCTTGTCTTTATTTTTATTTTTTTATTTTACTTTGTTTATTTATTTTCTTTGTTTATTTATTTTCTTTATTTTCATTTTGCTTATTTTATTTACTTTTTTCATTTTATTATTATTATTATTATCTTTTTTAGCTTTATTCACTCTTTTATTCACTCTTTTATTTCCTCTTTATTCATTTTTTTATTTTTGTTTTCGTTACCTTTTTTTATCTAACACGTTGCTTGATTTTTTAAGGATGATTTCAAATCAATCTAAGGTAAGCAATTTGGGATCGTTATTTTACCTTTAAATTTTAAATTTTAATTTTCTTAATTAAATACAGATGGAAATTACGTAGTACCGAAAGGGCAGTTCAAGAGTGTTAACCCTTCTTTGATTATAACCGACTCCCGAATCCGACACATCTTTAGAAAGACGCAGACCATGTAAGAAATAAGGTATCCGATCTACCCATTTGTTTTACAATAAAAGATCGGTGGTGACTCCAATCCATTTAATCCACGTCAAAGCCTAATTCTGGGCCCACCCGAAAGATGGTTCCGACATAGCTATTATTAAATCTTTTGTCATTTTACCCCTACTTTTAAACCAATAAATAAAGAACTCATTTTAACTTTTGAATATACAAAAAATATTATCTCTCTCTCAAATGTTCACTCTCTACAGCTCTGTAGCTTTTTTTAAGTTTTGTTTCTTATAAAGGAGTAGTACCATTTAAGTCCACTCAATTTTTCGGGTGAATATGTAACACCTCAAATTATGGACTAGTAATTTCGAGTTTACAGGAGAGATATGTGTGTTGGATTAAATTCCATAATTATGGGCAAATATTTATAATGTATATTGTTATCATAAAACATAACATAAATTAAGTGACAAATTATGTTATAAAGTCATAAGGTATTAGAAGTGTCATGCAAATAAAAGTGTAGATGCTATTAAAGTTGAATTTATAACTTGAAGAGAGCAGATTTATAAGTACAGACAATAATTAATTCTTAAATCAACTATATAAATGGGTTATGGTCCTTAAGAAATAGACAATTTCATATTTACTCTTATCTCGTCAGAGAGTTTATACTTAAGGAAACTTTAACTTCTTATAAAATCACAACCAAAGAAAGATTCAAGGATTTCAACCCATCAACTAATTTATGCATGCTTCTGCATCTAATATTTTTTGTTCTTGATAATTTGGCAAGATTTGATCCTGATTTATTATCATATTTATTATGATTTAGTTCTACCAAATAGTTTCAGAGCCTCGTCATGGTGGATCATTGAGAATTATTTGATTTTATATTATTTTTCGATTTATTCATACTCAAATTTCATGAGATTCCCATATTGATTTGGTATTTTTTAAATTAAAAAAAAAACTTTTGATTTACAATGTTTTAAATTATAAGTTATTTTTATGATTATTATATTTATTAAAAGTAGAATATCCAATTTGCAATCATATTTCGTTTCTAAGGTTTTTGCGTCAACCATGTTTATTTTCTTAACACGATACGGGTTAGTATATAGAATTGTATACTAAACCCAATTATGATAGTATATGGATAATGTTGAGTTTCGTGTGAATATTATGAGTGAATACTTTAACTTTAATTTTGGATTTATTCTGGGCATGTTGTTATTGTTACAATTTGTGAATATTTGGTTTTAGTTTATTGTATGTGTTTTGATTAATTTGGTGAATCCAAGATTAAGAAATTTTTTTAGGAATAGTCAAACGTTTAGGTTTTCGGTTTCTAATAACATCGCTTAGAACACCTTATTATGGGTTATTTCGAAAATCATGACGTGATTAGAAAATTCAATTTTGATGTTTTGAATGTTATGGATTATAAAATATATACTTGGTATTGATATATTCGATTCAGTTTGATTAAAAATTTAATTCATTAGTATGTACATTTTTTTTTACTTTTAATTACATATTTTTTTAAGAAATATTTTTTAATGATTTATAGATTAAATGCATGTTTAAAGGATTTTTTTTCAGAAATAATCAAAGACTTGAGTTTTTTGATTTTTTGATAGCACCATTTATGTAACCTTATCTTGGGTTATTTTAGATACTGTAGTGCAATAAAAAAATTAGTATTGACTTTTGATTGTTATAGAAATATTAAATTTGAATACTAATATTTATTTTTGAGATTATTTTATTAAAATAATAAGTCATTAAAGTGGCCTCAATTATCGAAAATATTTTATACAAGTTTTGCACATATAACTTAGGATATGTTAGTATTGATCAACCCAAAGGAAGATTAATAGTTGACATAATTGCATGTATAACTTTGGTAATAAGCATGTAATAATTATTCGATTTGATGTGTGAGTACTAAATCAAACCAAAGAAAGATTTTTGCTTGACATGTTCTTATTATCGGTGTTTGGTTACCGCATCAGATATCACTTAAGGTGAATATCTTGTCTAAAGATGAAATATTAATGAAACATTTGATATCTTGAGATAAGGTTTAAGTGTATTCAAATTTATTATTATTTTAGCTATCTTTTAATTTAATTAAAAGATAAATTAAGAGAAATTGATTGAATATTTCTATGATTTTAATTATATTGTTAATGCAATTTATGTATATATTCAATTCAGTTTATTCAGTTTTGATTGTTGGTTAATAGAATATATATATTTTGAAACAAATTAATTCATATTATGGTTATGTCTGATATTTTGATAGATTAGTTGAAACATAATGCCGCCAAAGTGATATCTTTTGTGTAGACTAATTAATTTGAAATATTAAGATGATTATGTATTTATTGTGATTCATGCGTTTATTAATTGGTCCAAAGGAAAGTTAATATTTTGTCGGATTTCAAGCGACACATTTGGTAATAATATGTGAAAATTATAAGGTATTTTATGTGAGCATTACATTAGTTCAAAGATTAGTCTATTGTTCGACGTAGCTTATTGTCAATGTTGATTACTACAACAAGATTACCGTTTACTGTAATATTATTGTCCAAAGACTTGATATTGATGTAGTGTTTGGTATCTTATGATGTGAATTAGCCATAATTTTGAATTTATTTGTTTACTTAAGATGTGAGCTTCAGTTTTATTTATATTTTGTTTTATATTTAAATTATTTATCTATTTATTACTACCATGATATCTACTCTATGAAAAAATGGATTATATATACTATATGAAAAAATGCACTTAGGAAAGCAAATATGAAGGAATGGAAAAATGCACTTACATAAGGTTTTGGTTGTATGAACATAGACTTTGCGCCAAGTAAAGAACAATTTCACCTCTCATTGGGGATAACAATGTTTATTGGTATAAGGGAGTTTGAGAGGTGAAATTTAATTAAATCGCATAAGTCTAGTGGTAATGAAACAGAATATTTTAGAAGCTTTTAGGGGCACATAATCTGAAAAAGATTACTAAGGCTAATGATTTCTTTGACGAAATTAAGAAATATTTTTTCAAAAATACTACGATTTAAATGACATCACTTTTGACTTCTTTGATGTCTATAAAGTATAAGGGTCAAGGAAATATGAGGGAGTACATTTGGATGTGTTTCATATTGCTTCAAGACTTAAGCACTTAAGATCGAGTTTTTCTGAAGAATTACTTGTTCTTATGATTTCAGTATCGCTTCTTATAAAGTTTAATCAACTCAAACTGTGAAATGAACTCTAAATGAGATCATTTTTCATTGCGTACAAAAGAAAGAAAGGTTGAAGCATAATAAGCCTAAAAGTACTCACTTGAAAAATGCATATAAAGATAAGAGCAAAAAAATAAAAAAAAACAAAATGTAATTGTTAAGGGTCCAACTTAAAAGATACATCAATATGTTACAAAGAATTGCTTTTAAGTTAAGTTGAGACATATTAGGAGAAATTAAATTCTAAAATAATAAGCAACTGCTTTGGTTATTTTGAGCTGTCCAAGGGTTATAATTTTTATGATCTCATAATTAAAATTATTTTTAAGGTGAAATCTATAACACTATCTTTTAGAATGTTGAGTTTGGAGGGGGAAGCAAAGTTTAAGGAATTAATTTTGAGGAGGAATTAGATTATAACCCAATTTCTATTATCACTTTTGATGATATCCATGTGTTCATACATGTCGTTAATCAAGAAATGAGTTTAGAATCTCAATAAAATTATTTTAGATTATGATGTTTCTACAAGAAATAAGCATGGTAGTAGAATGATGAAAGATGATCTAATCAACTTTCGTCATGTCATAAAAGTTATGACTCTCAAAAGTGGATTAATTTCAATTAAGAAGAGTATAAGTTTTATACAATATAATAAAGTTTGAGGACTTATCCCATTACCTGAAGGTTCAAAGTTAATTGGCTATAAATGAGTATTTATAATCAAGATGGATACAAATGGTGATGTTAATAAGTATAAGACATGTCTTGTATATAAATGATATACTCAGAAAGGAGACATTAATTTTGTAGAGACATTCTATTTGGTTTAATTGAAAGACTCTTTCAGGATAATTATGATACTTGTTGCTTGTATTTGATTTTGAGTTACATAAGTTGTATTGCAAAATTGTGTTTCTTAACGGTAACATCGATGAATTATTTTATACGGCGCAATTAGAAAATTGTATCTAATGATACAAAATTAATAACATGCAAATTAAGGAAATCTATTTATAAGTTCAAGTATTACTCTCTTCAATTGAATAACAAACTTCACCAAGTGATTATCTCATTTGGTTAATAATTGTATATATTATAATTTCAGTGGGAGTAAACCAAATAGTACCTCTTATTGCTAAAGGAACCAAGTTTAGCCTTGATTAGTGCCCTAAGGATGATTTTGAAACAAAGGAAATGTAAAAAGTTCATTATGATTCAAAATAAATAAAGAATTTAATGTATACTCAGGTTTATACGCATTTAGACATAGCGTATGATTTTAGGATATTAAGCATATATTTAAGCAATTTGGGTATGATCGTTGGATGGCAGCCAAATCAATTCATACAATATATTTAAGAACAAAAATATTACATGCTCACATATCAGAGGTCTATTAAGTAAGAGATCATTAGGTTTATGGACTCTGGCTTATTAGAATATGGATGCAAAATTTTGTCACATGAACTGTTAATTATGGATTAATAAGAAAGATCACTTGAGTTTTTTTGTGACAATTAAGTTGTAGTCCTTTATTCCATATATAAATAGAAACATCTTGAGTTTAAGCAAATAGACATTATGTTTCTATTTGTTAAAGAAAATTCAGAGTGATTATGTATTTATCGAGCATGCTAGTACAAACTCATAACTGCGCGATTACTAAAGAACTGTCACCCAAGGTCTTTGATGAGCACACTACTCATGTGGGTATAATATCATTTAAGGATATTCAATTTTAGTGGGAGTTTGTAATATTAATGCTCGTTTGTTATAGACACAATTTTAGTTATTTCAATTTAAGGATATATATGCTAAAGTTATTTTTTGCAAAAATAAAATTTATTTTGGTTTATCCACACTCTTGTTTTGGTAAAATTTGATCTCACTAATGTTTAAAGAGGATCAGTTGGTAGACATATACGGTTCACATTGCATGTAATTTCCATGCTACGCTCCATGATTAATATATATCATTTAACTATGTTCGTATATGTGACCATTGATCTGGTTATGATAAATATGGAAAAGGTCGCTTTGATCCTATATGGATATAGTTGATGGATGAGAATGTTATAGAATACCTATTGAATGATAACAAGTTTTGAGCTCAGGTTATACATTTATTAGGAAACATATGTTGCTTAAGTGGAAGATTGTTGGATTAAAATCCATAATTATGGGCACATATTTATAATGTATATTGTTATCATAAAATATATGACATAAATTAAGTGATCAATTATGTTATAAAGTCATAAGGTATTATGAGTGTCATGAAAATAAAAGTGTAGGTACTATAAGTTGTATTTATAGCTTGATGAGGGGTAGAATTATAAGTATAAAAAATAATTGATTCTTAAATCAACTATATAAAGGGGTTATGATCCCCAAAAAATAGACAATCTCGTATTTACTCTTATACCTGTCAAATAGTTTATAAGGGAACTGTATCTTCTTGGAAGATCACAACCAAAGAAAGATTCAAGAATTTCAACCCATCAATTAATTCATGTACGTTTTTTCATCTAGTATTTTTTATTCTTAATAATTTGGCATGATTTGATCTTGGTTTATTATCATATTTATTATGATTTAGTTCTAACAATGTGGACCTCATGAAATTCATAATTAAAGTCGTTGACCTGAATTCTGGGCTAATAATTTCAAGTTTACCAGAGAGGTTTTTAAAAAGTAGAAAGATGCGAAATGACCAAATGCACAATTCACCTTTTTAAAAATATTAGGGTTTTTATATCTCATCTCATCTTGTTCTTTCCTTCATTTCTCTTCATCCTCATTTGTTCATTCTTCATTCTTCATCTCCAAGTTCAATAGCTCAAAGGTAAGTTCTTGGACATCTTTCATACTTTAATTTTGTTCCCAATCCCTTCAGCAACATCGTTTTAATGATTCAAAGTATTAGTTCTTTGTTTGCAAGAAAAGTGGTGGTTTTAATCATCCAAGTCTTGGTGGAGAATAATTTCTAGCTAAAGGAGTTTCATTTTGGGATTCTTAAACCAATGTAGTGTATTTCTGATCCTTTGGAGTGTTCAGATTTTCATAAATATGAAGAATTACTAAGATTTGTGTATTTGTGCATTTTAGGGTTATATTTAATTTCATGATTAAATGATGTTTTAGAAATAAAGAATGTGTTTTTATACCACTTTAAAACCCTAGGTAACTTTCTAAAGCTTTAGCCCATGGTTAGGAACCAAACTAAGACCTCTAGGGTGATTTTTGGGTGTTATTCGAGTTTAAATTTAACATTTCTAGGTTCAAGTATAGATATTGAATGAATTGCGATGAAATTTGGGGATTTCCAACTGGGAGTATCGATACTGCCCCTACAATATTGATACTCAAGGTATACAATATCGTTAGCATGCTTAATTTTCATAACATAAACAATGTTTGGTACTAATACTCATAAAAGTATCAATACTTGATCCTAAGGTATCAATATTATAAGTAGAGTATCGATATTACCCACTTTGGATAGTTAAATATGACCTCTATAAGGCCCGTAAGAGCTAAGGATGATTTGTATTGGTAGAACTTAGTCAGTGAGGGAGGTAAATGGCCAAAGGGGCCCAAAAATACTCGTAGGAGTAGGGTACAACCGAAGTAACCATAGTAGGTGTAATACGTTCAAGTACCTTTAGCCGAGCACATAGCGAGTATCTAAGAATGAAGGATTATTGCAGAGGATATACCGACAAGTGATATGACGAATTAATCAGAATATGTAATAGAAAAGTTGCATACTACAAAAAAATCAGCGAATGGTGAATGTACAATTGTTCCTTTAATTCAAAGATGAATTGAGTGAAAGCATAGTAAGAATGACTATAGTATCGCTACTCAGTATAGAACCCGAGTCAAGTAACGGGCTAGTAAATAATATAGTAAATGAATAGCAGAATCAGTATCGTCGTAAAATCATGAAACACATAGAGATCTCTTCAAAGATAAAAATAACTAAAATACCCTTATGTGATAATAACCAGAATAGAGCGACTTAATAAATTATCAAAAATAATAGACTAATAAACTCTTGCAAAACGTTCTAGGTAAGAGAATGAGTGAGATAGATGCTACTGAGAGGATGACCTCACTTTAGTTTGTCTAGCTATGCTAGAGTGTAGTCAAGCTTCCTTAGTTGTCGTAATGGCGCATTGTCAGTTTTGTGTGGCCTTTGGGCCTCAGATATGTATGTGTAGTTGCATCAGTCCAGTACAGTAAAGATTCTAAAAGCTTTACTTGACGGATATGTTAGATCGAGCCAATGCTTCAGTTGAGCATGATGATATGTGACATCGGGCTCCCCCTCCATAGTCTACCTGATGGTTATGTGAGACTAGGAGATCATTTAACAACTTTGTAGGAATTTCACTGATGCTATGTGACACCGGGTTCCTTAGTTAACTAGTGTCTGATGGCTATGTGAGACCAGATACTAGTAGTGTTACATTCAGATAATACACATGAGTGTTAGTGTTGCATTCAGATAATACGTAGTAGTTACAATCATTAGCGTTAGAGACTCTTTAGAGGTGTACTCATGGCGAGGCCGTTAGCAAAGGATTAAGGGAAGCATGAGACTCCTACTTCAGTGATAAAACAGTTGAACCTTAAGTAGGTTGCACTTGATTAAGATCACACATATACCTACTTCTTAGTACTATGTCTTTTGCATGCTTATGTTTATGAATCTCATAATGTTGCTTTAGATTAGTGATTATACCGTTGGGCTTTGTAGGCTTGGCGTATGGAGTTTTCCGTTCATTGGTCAGTAGCTTGAGTCGATCTTGGAGCACCATCATAGCATGACTTCCCAAATACTTTCATATTATTGTATTGTAGCTTTAACGGGCATATGTATTCGTAGAACCTTACTCATATAATTGATTTATCGAACTCTCAGTTGTGCTAATCATCATGTTTTAATATTTTATTTGATATTTTTCAGTTAATATTAACGCCTTGTTTTGCAACAGTCTATTTTATCAACAATGTTTAAAAATGATGTAAAATTATAGATAAAAGTATTAAATAAGTAGCCCTTTTAATATAGTTTGATAGTTGATATATATGTGCATTGTTTGAAAGGGAAAGGAATTATTAATCAAGATATAAATACAGAGATGGCTAGTAAAGTAAAAAGTCTAACATGGGAGTGGAGTGATGGATGCAACCGGTGAGTTTGCGGGTAGACGGTGACGTCAAGCGGTGTAAGAGGGGTTGGGCAAGTGTCTGGCTTGCACCTAACTCAACACCCTCATCTGAATCATCCCATTATTTTATCGCAGCAAGCATTCGTCAGCGTCCCACAAGGGTTTCCCCCCGTTTTAATTAATTAATCACAATTATAATTGTATTATATAATATCTTGTTTTTTCTTATCTTAATTAAATTAAAAAAAAGGTGCTTAAATTGTGGGGGGTTGCTTCACATGCCAAGGATGGTGGGGAAGACAAAAGAACTGAATGGTAATGGTCAGAGAATCCCAGATGAATTTGTTCTCTTATAGGGATCATGCAGGAACGTGGGGCAACTGTTGTCTCAATTCCATTTTCAATCATTCAATTACAAATTAAACTAAACTACAAATTTGTTTGTTAGGCTTCTGTTGTTGCAAGAAAATCTTACTTATTAACGAGTCATCGATTGAAATTATATGGACAGCCAGCTTCTCAGGGTAGCCGACAGAAACATTAAAAACTTCGTTTACCACCCTGAATGTTTAAATAATTTCCGATACAATGGGTGTGATTCGGACAGTGGTTTGGACTTTGGAGCTGTTGCAGGTCATGCTGGTTAAAACCGGGGGGGGGGAGTTTGGCTTCCTAATTTTTTCGTTGGATTTGGAATTGAAAAAAGTTTTTAAATAGTAATAATAACATTTTAAAAAATGAGTATAAAATTTTTTATCTTGACAATCTAGACCACTATAAAACCCGGATCAGTTTGATATTGTTTAAACAATGTCTCAAGTTTAAGTTTTTGTGTATGTAGAAAATCATCGCTAGGTACTCACACACAAAAATCAAATATATGATCCGGATCAGTTTAGATTAATTAAGACGAAACCTTATAACTAAAGGGGGAATTAAAGTGGAATTGGAAAATAGGTTCCTCACAGCCATAACATAACCAGGCCAATCCTACATCCTCAAAGTCAACCCCTTTTGACTTTGAAAGGAATATTTCTAACACGATAACATTTTTGTAACATAAATTTGTCCTTGTTTATATGAAAAATATACATATTCTTAAATCACTAAATTTTATTGTCTTTTTGTTTAACAGAGAGATGTTATATTCTAAGATAATTATCAACATTTGAATTTATAAAAAATAAAGTTGTATAAATTGAACCCATTTGGCCTTAACTGCTGTAAGACTGTTGTAATTAATATTACCAATTAATTCTTAATTAAGTGACGCTGTATAAATTGGAGCCATTTGGCCTTAATTGCTGTAAGACTGTTGTAATGAATTACTGTATACTAATCATTCTGCAGTTAAAAAAAGAAAAAGAAACCTCTCTGACTAGCTATTAATCAATTAAATAATTATTTTTGTTATCTCCTTCAACTTGTTGCACATATAAAATACAGTCTTGAATTCGTTTTGTTTGCTTTTGGTGTGAAGAGACAGGGTTATATCGACCCATCGGTTTTATTCTCAAACCTTGAAAGAAAGAAACCCATTTTTCCTTGCTTCTTCAGAAAAATCAAAGCATTTGCATGTTTTATTTCACGTCCGGAATTAGTTTTGGTGCAAATTAAAGCTCGCAGCAGTGTTCGTTCTTATGAGAGAATCAGCTTGTTTATTTCCTATATGTTTCTTTACAGATGGAGAACTACAGAGGAGAAGGTGATTTAAACGACATAGTTCGGGCAAGTGGTGGTGATCCGTTGAGCTGCACCACTGGTCAAGGCTCCGACACGTTTCCTACTTCAAGCTGGCAGCAATTCCCCTCCGAATCCGATCCATTGAACTTTCAATCTTCAGCCACGGAAGGTCATGTTTTAAACGCTTTCGGTGACCCTTTCTCCAGTATCAGAGATCCACTTCTTCATGAGCTTAGTTCGACATACTTTAAGAGCCCTAATTCGGCTTATCATCATAATCGTAAAATCAATACCAGCTGCTCCCCCATCGTTGAAGATACGTCGAGCTTTCCCGGTTCAGCGACAATCGTGGGTCAAAGTAAGATGTTTGAAGAAGATACGCGGAGTCCTTGCAACATATTTCCTCGGATTCAGATCTCCCCGATAAGCTTAAGTAAGCTACCTGTATCGCCCTGTGATTCGCCGATTATGGCTGCTACTGGTGTTTCCCCGAGGGGAATTAAGGTGCCTGCTGTGCTCCCAAGCGACATGATTAGTGCAAAAACCACCTCGAAAAGTTGCTTAATTGATAATACTGGCCCAGTGCAGATCTCTTCTCCGCGGAATCTGGGTATCAAGAGAAGGTTAGGGTAATATTTAATTCACTAAGCTCAAACTTCGTTATTAAACTCTGAACCCCCCCAGCTGGCTACTATATTTTTTATTCTTCTTCTTTGTCTCATTAATTGACCACCCATGATGCATGAATTAATAACATTTAGGGTATTAATGAAAATTTTGGAACTTTGGGGTTTTTCCTTTTCTTTCATAAGATCATATTGTAAATATAAGAAATTAGGGTTTATTGTTACTAACTAATGTATCTGAATTTTATGCATTGGTGTGTATGATTTGTTGGCAAGTTTTGCTCACTCCAAGGTTTATATTAACGCTAAAAATGTTGCAATCCGGACAAGCTTTAAATCAGACCGGGAAAAGTACATAGATAGCTTAACTGGTAAACGTAGCTTCTGAATAGTTATTGTGAAAGCACTTACATGGATGATGATGTTTACTGCTATTTTTTCTTAAAAACATTTGTAGGCAAGTTTTATCTTTTATAAAAGATCAAGTTTCAAAATAACTAATGTAAATTACAGAAAGAGCCAGGCCAAAAAGGTGGTTTGTATTCCAGCACCAGCATCTGCGAACAGCAGGTCTAGTGGAGAAGTAGTTCCTTCGGATCTGTGGGCATGGAGAAAATATGGGCAGAAACCCATCAAAGGTTCCCCTTATCCAAGGTACGTAGATATACACATTATTTTAGTGAAACATTATATTACTAGCTAGTTAGTTATGTTATTATCATTGACAAGACGACGAGCCAAAAAGTACTGATAAGTTTGAGAAACTAAAGCTGCAGTTGCAGTAGCTATTTTGCTGTCTTCCGAGATGACAATTTGCAGAAATCATATTCTTGGCTTCTTTGTTGTATGTATTTCTTAAAAATAACAATGAAAAAGATATTTACTATTCTACACTCGGCATGCCGAGTTTCCCCTCTCGGTGTATAGCACAGTTCTTCATCGTACATGCTCATCGATCGCTAATGCTTTTCCTAATAAATGCAAACATAAATAACCAATGTTTTCTTCTTCTTCTTTGATCGAAGTGCTTCATTTACATTTTGTATATATATGTTTATAAGGAAAGATATTATATTTCAGATTGTGCGTTCTATCCGACCTTTTGCAATAATTGATCCTTTAGTAAACTGTATATTTCCAGGGGCTACTACAGATGCAGCAGTTCCAAAGGCTGTTCTGCAAGGAAGCAAGTGGAGCGAAGCCGAACTAATCCCAACATGCTTGTTATCACCTATACATCAGAGCACAATCATCCATGGCCAATTCAAAGGAATGCTCTAGCGGGATCAACAAGATCTCAGCCATCCAAAACCTCTTCTGCTTCCAAGATAAACCCCAATGAAGAAGAGCTTAAAGAGAGCAGCAACGATGAACTGTCTCCCACTAATGCAGCGGCTGTCAGCTCAACCGCAAGTGCATCAGCTAAAGAAGAGAGCGATGACATGGAGAAGCATCCGGAACCAGACGATGCTGAATTTGGCGATCAAGGAATTCCTCAAACCTATATACCACCAGTATCAATGCCAACAGACTCACAGCAAGCCGAGGATTTCTTAGCTGAATTGGATGAGATAGAGACAGACCCTCTTAACCTATTGTTTCCACAAGGATTCAGTGGTGCTGATCAAGACGAGCAGAAAGAAACGAAAACAATGGATCCTTTTGGTCTGTTCGATTGGCCAGGGAACAACAATGCTTCTTTCTAAAACAAAACCCCAAAAGGGTTTATAGCAATACCTTGAGTTTGAAGCTAACACAGATACATATAAAAGTGTTTCAGAGTTGGCTTAATTCAGATTCAAGGTCATGCTATAAAACCTGGTTTTACCATGGAGTGTTATTTACCTTCTGATTCAAGGTCATGCTATAAAACCTGGTTTTACCATGGAGTGTTATTTACCTTCTGATCTTAGCTCCATGGTTCTTTTTTTGGGGGGGTCATATTTTTGTTGCTATTTACTAGAATAGTACGGAGACTTGGGGGGGCGGGGGAAGAGATGTGGAGTCCCACATTCCTTTTGGATGGGACAGAAAGCAGAAGAACAGAAGGTTTCAATAGTGCAAACAAGTACGTGCCATGACTGGAAAACTCGGGCAGCAGTGGTGAAAAAATCATTTGAAAAAGCTTGAATTTTCTTGTCAAACCTGATTGCCTAGGGATATGTGCAAAGAGTAAGTGAGATATAAAACAAAGCTTTGGCCTTGGGTTTCTCTGCTTTCTGTTTCTTTTATTATCCATCCAACTACAATTTTTTTTTTTAGAGTATGTTTGGTTAGGAAATATGAGATTCTTATGAGAATGAAATTTATGTTCTCATGTTTAGTTAATCGGAAATATTATTTTCGATAATCTTATATTATTAATAGTGGATTTTTTAGAATATATTATCGGGAATGTCATTACCTTCATTTTCTTAAGTATTGTTGGATTACCGATATTTTAGACTAAAATGCCCTTAAAATTATTTTTTTTCAAAATTATCTTTATATTGTCATTTAATAATAAAATTCTACGAATGTTAAATTATAAATTTATCTTTAAACTATTTTAGATTCATAAAAAATATATATAATTAAAATTTTATATAAAATTCAAGAGTTAAAATAAAATTTTATTCTTTCATTAAACCTTTTTATATTTTTAATTTTGAAAAAAAATTATATAAATTTTATGATTTTAAATTTTTTAAAGAAAATATATAAATATTTTCTAACTTGTTAAAAAGATAAATATATAATAAGGACAATTTGATTAAATATACATTTCAATAATATTTTATTCTTTTAACCAAATACAGTAATATTATATTCCTGCTAAACCAACCAAACACAAAATATAATATTCTCAGTAATCCTATTCTCTGGTAATCTTTTATTCCCACTGGTAAACTTTTATTCTCACTGATAATCTTGTATTTCATGAACTAAATACACCCTTAGGGAGTGTTTGGTTCAAGGATTGTGGGATTCTCATGGGATGGTAATCCCACATTCCCATGTTTGGTTGGCCGGGAATCTCATTTCCGGTAATATTTTTTTACTAATAGTAGATTTTTTGGGGTATATTACCGGGAATGTAATTACCTCCCTTCCCTTATGTATTGTAATATTACCGGCATTTTGGACTAAAATGCCCTTAATTTTTTTTTTTTTTCAAAAATATCATTCTTCTGTCATTGAATAATAAAAATTTTACGAAGGTTAAATTACAAATTTATCCTTAAATTATTTTAGATTTACAAAAAAAATATCTATAATTAAAATTTTATATGAAGTTCAGGAGTTAAAATTTTTTTACCCTTTCATTAAATATTTTTATATTTTTTATTTTGTAAAAAATTATATAAATATTATGAATTTAATTTTTTTAAAGAAAATATATAAATATTTTTTAACTTTTTAAAAACCAAATATATAATAAGGACAATTTGGTCAAATATACATTCCAAAAATCTTTTATTCCTTTAACAAAACACGGTAATCTTACATTCCTGCTAAACCAACCAAACACAAAATACAACATTCCCAGTAATCATATTCCTTGGTAATCTTTTATTCTCACTGGTAATCTTACATTCCGTGAACCAAACGCACCATTAGGGTGTGTTTGGTTCAAGGATTGTGGGATTCCCATGGGATGAGAATCCCACATTCCCATGTTTGGTTGGTCGGGAATCTCATTCCCGGTAATGTTTTATTACCAATAGTAGATTTTTTGAGGTATATCACCAGGAATGTCATTACATCCATTCCTTTATGTATTGTAACATTACCGGCGTTTTGGACTAAAATTCCCTTAAATTTTTATTTTTTTTAAAAAATATCATTCTTCTGTCATTGAATAATAAAAATTCTACGAAGGTTAAATTACAAATTTATCCTTAAATTATTTTAGATTTATAAAAAAAATCTATAATTAAAATTTTATATGAAGTTCAGGGGTTAAATTTTTTTTACCCTTTCATTAAACATTTTTTATATTTTTAATTTGTAAAAAATTATATAAATATTATGAATTTAATTTTTTAAAGAAAATATATAAATATTTTACAATTTGTAATATTATACAAATATATAATAAGGATAATTTGGTCAAATATACATTTCAATAATTTTTTATCCCTTTAACCAAACACGGTAATCTTACATTCCTGCTAAACCAACCAAACACAAAATACAACATTCACAGTAATTATATTCCCTAGTAATCTTTTATTCCCACTAATAATCTTACATTCCGTGAACCAAACGCAACTTTAATATTTGGAAATTTGAATGGCTTGGGGTTGGGGGAGTCTCTCTATATTTTGCCTCATACTATTTACTTATCATTCTCATTGTCGTATATGTATCAGATATGAATGAATTCAGCTTGTTCTTTTTTTATGCTCGCTGCAGATAAAAAACAATCTTTAAAACAAGTAATTGTTTAATTTGTACAGAATAAAGAAGTCGATGAATCATGTGATGTGCATTTAATGAGATGTTTGTTTATCTGAATCCACACGCAGCGTAACTTATGACAACAACTCAGCAAGTCTTCCAAGTTTTCAAATAAAAGGGGGGAAAATGAGTCTAGAGGGTAAGAATCCAGAAAGCAACTTTGTATGATATTAAATATGAAATTACCATCAACGAAGTTTAGCCTGAGTGGAGGAGGCTCTGGTTGTTTAAACAAGTGGTTTCTAGTTCGAGTTCTTGTGGATGCAGTAAATTTTTTTGGGAGAGATCCTCACCTTTAGTGTCCGACAGTACCTCGGAGAATTAGTCCAAACGAAGCCTGGGGATACCTTGAGATACCCAAAAAAAAAATTAAATATGAAATTACCCTAAGCCACTAGTAGTGCTGGAATATAATTAAAAGAACTTAGCCACGTAATTAATTTCTTATGTAATGCTTCCATTTCTATGCACGTCTAACAATTGTTTTATTTATTTATTTAATGTATTTTTAGTTATAAAATGGTCCCTCAATTTTTCATACATTCTAAACTCATTTTTTTCGTTAAAAAATTGACGACATATTGAATTAGACGTTAACTTGCTGATTAGGATATGATAGTCATTTAAGATTTTGGGATCAAATTTTATCATATCACGATTAATAATTTAACATCCAACTCAGACTACCGTCAAATTTTTAATAGAAAATAATGAGTTTTGAACATATGAATAATCAGGTGATCATCTGTAACTCTCAATAGACGATGGACTCAATAAAGCAATGCTCAATAGTTATGAGAACAGTTTGTATTTTCTAATAGTAATGTGATCCAATGAAACAATATTATGTAGTCAGAGATCCTTTGTGCACTTAACCCTAGTTTTTATTATACATTGAGTAAGCAAGATATATGTTTTTAGTAATTTATTGAATTATTTATTATGTTAATTGTTAGCAACATATTTTTTTTAGTAAATATTGCGATTTCGAAAATTCTAATGTTCAAATCTTGTCAAAGCAATCCTTGATTCAGTTTGTATCATATATCTTTTTATTCAAATTGAAACCTGCAAAGTATACACGCATGTTTTTTTTAATTAATCACTGATATTTGATCTATTGACCGATTAATCCAGACGGGTATTGCAAAGGCGAGGGCCACCCTCTCAACCTAGTTTGCTCCATTCACAAACGCCAAGATTCAAACCACTGACCTTACTTAAGAGATCTAATACCTCATCTCACCAGAATAGCTGATTGTTGGTATACACATGCTTTTTGAAGCCCCAATAACATTCACTTGGTAAAAGCAGTCTCATTTTAAACAGACAAGAGAGGTTTCAACTCTGGCCCAGAGAAACAAACAACACACGCTTACTAGGCCCTCAATCATCAACTGTGGAAAATGTGTGGGTTTCATTGTTACATAATTTTACTCTATAATCTTTCATTATCTATATGAAATGAACTCCGTAACAAAAAAGTATTATTTTTTAAAACATCAATCTCAACAGTTATATATAGAATTCATATTGTCATTAATGATTAGAAAAGATTGTAATATTAACTTAATATTGCACCTCAACAAAGTGATGTATAACTACATACATGACCTATACGTCAAAATGGAAAAATTATTCTATGATATCGACTCGTCACGTCATCTATAGTCCTAGAAAATCACGTCTATTAATTTTAAAATGATTTTTTAATAACTACTCACTTTTTATTTACACGTAGTAAAGAGGTGAGGATTCACCTTAGAAAAAATGATATGAAAAATATTATTGAATGAGACCAAAAATAATGTGGTGAGCCGAGTCCATATAATAATTTTTCGTCAAGATGATGTATACGCGACCCTCACTTGCAATAAATTATTTGATAGATTCGACTCACCACATCATATGTGATCCTAGTGAATGAGAGCCACAAATTTTCAAATAACTATTCACTTCTTGTTTACATATAGAAAAGAGGTAAAGATTCAACTAGAAAAAAATGATATGAATAAATATTATTAGTTTAAATCATGGATGACGTGATGAGCTGATATCATCCAATAATTTATCCTCACATGCAGGGACGAAATTAATTAGGGAGTGGGAGGGGCTGTCCCCAACCCATAAAAAAGTCATTTTTTTAAAATTTAATATATATATATATATATAATTTAAATATTTATAAGATAATTATGAAATCATTAATTTCTTTGAAAATTTGAATATTTCATTAATATATATGTGTAAAATATGAGATTGAAATCGTTTTTTAAAAAGTGAAAAAATTTTATTTTTAAATAAACATTAAAGTCATCAATATTTTTTTCTAAATTAAACATTTTAAAAATTGATTTTTAAATAAACCTAACAATTAAATTAAGTAATTAAAACCATTTTCAAAATATACTGAAGTCATCAACACCTATAAAGTCTTTTAAGGTGCATGTATTCTGTTTCCTTTCTTGTCTAATTATACAAGCATGTGAATATGCTATTCTACAATAATTAAAGCATCACCTTTGCATTTATCTATCTAATTAAAATCCTTTTTTCCCTTTTTTCTTTCTCTAATTATACAAGCATATTCATATGCTATTCTACAATAATTCAAGCGTCAGCCTTGTAATGTCTTAAACCATTATTCATTTATTCTTTATATATATATATATTACATAAATACTTTACATTTAAATTCTGTTCATTATATTAAGAAGTTAGTCCATCAAACTTGTGATAAATTAGTAACATCTTTTTAATTTAAATTGATAATAATTTTTTATTCAACCTAAATAATTATCTTTAGGGTAAACTATATTATTCCTCATTGAACTTTACTCTCTCTCCTATTTTTCTCACTCAACTTTTAATTTGCTCATTGAACTTTATATATTGAATCATTTTGCTCACTTTGTTGTTAAATAATTAACGACGTTATGACATGGCACATGCATTAAAACGACGTCGTTTTGAAAAACTCAAATATACACAAAAATGATGTCGTTTTGAATCCTATATTGAAAGTATAGGGAGTAAAATATGAGAGAGAGTAAAGTTTAGTGAGGAATTGTGTAATTTACCTTTTTTTTCTTCTCTTCTTCATTTTCTCTCCTCCGGCCACCACGTCATTTTCATTCCATCCACCGTCCACTGTCGTTGAGGTTGGTTGTTCGATCTAAAATTTCATCTATCGGTTTATCTCGACCCCTTAGTATAAATCTGGTGATTGTTTAATTGAAAATGTCTAAAAACCCATGAATTTGGACTGAAATGTTTCGACTTCCTCACTTTCAATCTCAAATTCATGGACTTCGGAGCAACTTCTGACAAAATGAAGATCGGAATCAGACTCAATGTGTCAATGCGAAGCGACCCATGGTTGCTATCTACGACGATCGACGGTGGTTGGCGGTGGCTCCGACCACCTTTTGTTTTTATTTAATATTTTTATTATTTTATATTAAAAATATTTTTTTAAAATGCCACATCATCCAAACGTTAAAGAGAAAACAGGAGAATGAGCAAAATGATTCAATTTGTAAGTTCAATAAAAAAAGTGAACAAATTAAGCAAATTGAAAGTTGGGCGAGAAAAATAGGAGGGATAATCTAATTTATTGAGGAACGGTGTAATTTACCCTTATTTTTAATATGATAAATTTTGAAGATTTTTAGATTTTATACAACTATTTATAGTAATGGATTTAATTTTAAAGAACGGTGATTATACTTAAGAATGATTGATTTCGTGGCTAGTTGAAGAAATTATTGCATGGAAATGTGAATATGTAGAGGTGAGCACTAATAATATGAGTAACAATGATGGCAGTTGTTGATTAACTGTTGGGAAGATAATGTGTCCGACAAAAGCAAGGCAAAGCAGGATATAACCTAATCCGACCACTACCACCATTACTTTTTATTTAGGGGTAAAGTACACAAAAGATCCTTACTTTAATTATAGTATTTTGTAAAGATTTTAATATAATTAAATGATTATTTTTTAATATTTAAATAAAATTTACCAATCATTTTATAACAATTCTATAAATTTAATGATGATTTTGTATTAATTTAAACAAATCTAATAGTTATTTATAATTTTTTTAAAAAATTAACTATTAAAAAAATGTACTTTATCATTAAAAAATTAGGAAAAAGGGAAGTATCATCTGTCATCCTTTTCCTACCATTTTATACTTTTTATGTGGATGAACAATAAGAGACACGTCACTTGGAATTATATCTTCCAATTTTGAAAGCGACATAAATATAAATATAACTATAAAAATAGTGCATATGTATACAAACATATATTAAAATTTATATAAACATATAGGGTAAATGATACGTTTAGTACTTAAATTATCAATGTGGTCTGTTTTAGTACTTAATTTTTTTCTCAAAATCATGCATAATGTTTTGATGTTAAAAATTTAATGGGTGATTTGCACTTGATACCTTTTTATGGGTAAATTGCATCATTCATCACTTAATTATCTTCTCACTCCTATTTTGATCACTAAAATTTAGATTTTTTAATTTAATTACGTAACTTTCAAATTACTTTTAATTTAATCACTCTAACTTTCAAATTTATTTATTTTTAATTATATATTAATAAAGTAATAATAAAAATATCATGTCACAAAAATTAATAATAATATAAATTAGAATGATTAAAATAGGAACAATTTGAAATAATAATGGCATGTAATAAAAAAGAATAGTAATATAATAAAAAAATGAGCAATTTGAAAGAGTAGTTAAATTGAAAATTTTCAAACTTTAGTACCAAAATATGAGTGATAATATAGTTGAGTGATGAATGATGTCATTTACCCATAAAATTGCAGTGTATTACATTTTAATGGTCATGTACTTAAATGAAACAAAAACTAAACGTTAGGCATGATTTTAAAAAGAATCAAAAGTTTAAGTACTAAAACTGATAGTTTAGACACTAAATACCTAATTTATCAAAATATATAATGATTACGTCATTAAGAAAGTACATCAACACAAGGCAAATACATGCATAACGGAATCTACTTGGAAAAAAAGGGAAATAAACATAGTATGTATCATTTGATAAAATAAAGGGCATTTATTTCATTCACGTACTCTTTAAGATAAAAAGTGAAATAGCATCTTATTCTCTATCAAGAATGTCTGCTATACAAATAGATACATGAACATTATAGCACAGTGAAAACTACAAGTGACAATTAGGTACAAAAAAATTAAGATTGAGTTAGCATTCGCCGGCGGAATCTTATATATCTATACATTCAAACATCAAGCATTGTATAAGAAATGAATTACCAACAACCAGTTGGTCTAGTAGGATGAGGTACTAGGTCCATTAAGCAAGGTCAGAAGTTTGAATCCTGACGTTTACGAATAGAGCAAACTGAGTTGGTAGGGTCGCCCTCGCCTCTACAATACTCAATTTAGATTAGTTGGTCAATAGATCAGATATCATTGATTAATTAAAAAAAGAAATGAATTAACATGTCCTTTTGTTGTTATTGGTGTAAATAATAATTTTGGCAAAGGGTCATTGAATTATGTTAAAAACATAGTTTTAGTCGATATTTTAAAAAAATATTATAAAGTAGTCATTAAACTTTAAGATGGTTACGAAATGATCATTAAATTTATAGAAATGTCATGTAATTATCATTAAACTTATTGATATGTTACGAACTAGTCATTAGATTTATCGAGATTTATTATTATTTATGGCATCACATGAAATATTTTTGAAATAATTCGATAAGTTTAATGATACGTTACGAACCAGTCGTTAAATTTATCAAGATTTATTACTATTTATAACATCACATGAAATATTTTTGTAATAATTCGATAAGTTCAGTAATATTGTTTAACATTCAAGAGTTTAAAGACAGACAAATATTTTGACATAAATTCAATGACTAGGAACAAACACATAATTAATTTATGTTAAAGACGAACTTATAAAATTTTCGATGGAAAAACATATAGATTATAAATATAGAATATATAAAAGTTTAAAATTTGTATGAGATCGACTACCTCCGTATGTTCTTCCCTCAATCCATTTCTATTAATGATTTCTTTTATATATATATATATATATATATATATATATATATATATATATTACAAATTAACCTTTAATTTAACTATATAATAGTGATATGTACAACACCTTAAATTAAATTCCAAATTACTTTAACATAATGAGATCTCAAAATATTTAGATAAGTAAAGGTAGAATACGAAGCTCAGCCATTACGCATCAATATTGTCTATCACTAAAAAGACTGTAATTAAAACTTGAAAGTACATAAGATTGAGTTTAAGATCAAATCAAAATTCAAGAGACGAAAGTAAAACAATCTTTTAATTTTCCTTCCATTAATCAAATTAATTAAGAAAAGGAAAAAGCTGCAAATCACAGGCGCATTAGTAGTGCAGTGGCAGTGAGGACCTATATCGAGTCCATCACAGATAATGTATTCATCAGGAATGGACCACCCAACTCGCAGTAAATGTGGATTTCAATACATATAATTATCACCAGTTGATGAGTTGTTATTTGTTCATGAGCTACGACCTGTTCCTCTAGCCCTAGCTTGAGCCTCCTTCACTCCCCTTAGGTACAACCGCACAACAGGAGCACCGAAAGGGTTCAACTCCGGTCGGCCGCCGTTCTCTTCAAAAGCCACAAGGAGCCGGCCTACCACACCATCCAAGCTGCTCCATGTTTCCGCCAGAGGGCAAGAGCACGAGCATGGCGGTGGCGGTCCAGGCCGGTTTAGGGGGCAGTTTTGGATGTGGATTTTGGTTACCCCGAACCGATCTTCCAAGAATTCGAGCACATGTACACCGCTGCACTGGGAGAGACGCAGGTCGGGACGATGGTTCTTCAGGTATTGCTCGAAAGTGTTCCAGTCGCGCCGCTTCAGAGATTCGTAGCGACCAACAACCGGGACGAGCAGTGCGGGTTGTGGCGACGGTGGGTAAAAGGGTAGTCGACGATGGTTCACTGCCTGATTACTTCCCCGATGAGAAGTACGGTTAGACGAGACTCTAGAGGCGTTGGCGGCGGCGGCGGCAGCGGCTACGGCGGCTGACATATTCGGCAGCGTTTGAGGTTGCTGGCTAACTAGGATTGTGAAGATACAACAAGAGACGAATATACAGAAACGGCAATCGGATTAAGGAGAATTCCTTTACCTTTTTGTTCTTTGTTCTCTGCATATAATTATAAATTTGATATGATGAGCAGGAAGCGCAATGGGTTTTGAAGACTCGTGTATATAGATATATATACTGATGGGAACAACAGTGAATTTATTAATAGTTGTCATCAGGATTTTAACCAGAGTTCGCGGTTACATTTTTTTGTAGTATTATGTTTATTACGGTTGCGGATACAATAGATACTATTATGGATATTGCGATCGTGAATTTTTCAAAGGAGCTGATTTTTTTAATAAAAAAATAAGTTTTTTAAAAAAATTGAAAATAATGGAATAATAGCGGATTAGCGGTTCACTATTGTCGTAATTGGTCGCGATCTGCTAAATTGCGGCCGCGATCTGCTACTATTAGTGTGATCCCGCTTTACACCGTTATTTTTTAAGATAGTGGTTTTGGACACCGCTGCGACTGCGATATAACGACTGCGACACTGATATTCGATCGCTATTTGAAACCCTGATTGTCATCCAATCATTATTAGACACGTGTTTAGAATATAATTTTGATGTTTTTACCCCAAATTCATCTTAACAACGAAATATTACTTGTCAGATAACTTTTCTCCAAATATTACCGAATTTGCAAATTTTCTGACAAAGCGTAGATCAAGAAATGCGCCTTCGCGGGGTTCTGTCTGAGCTGGCACCACACTGTAAAGGCGCGGATCATGAGGCACGCCTTCTCAGGATTCTGTCCGAGCTAGCGTCACGTTGGAAAGCGTGGATCATGAAGTGCTCCTTCGCAGGGAAATATAATACGTACATGAAGGCTCGTATCATGAGGCTAGCCTTCCATTAACCTGAATTATTGCGCACTCCATTATTACTTGAGCCTTAAATCTCAGCTATTCATCCATCTCTCTCTTCTTTAAATACCCCAAAATACGAACATCAAATCACACCAAAATTACTTTCACATTCATCCTTCTACCAATTACTTCTATCAAGCTAAGTAGATTTTATTATAACTTTTCGAATGTAAAATTATTTTTTATTATATTATATTTATTTTATATTTAATGATCAAATTTTATTGTACTAATTATTTTCTCGATACATTTTGTCGATACAATAACAATATTAAATTGTGTTATTTAAATTATTTTGAATTAATTTTTTATATTATTTTATATTTTAATTTGTATACTAGTTATTTAATTAGATGTATTTTTCCTATTGTTTTTGCAGATATAGGACTTTCAATCTTTCAAACTCTCAAAATGAGACGTATTTAAGCTATTGTTTACTATGATAGAGAAATTCAGGAAGATGAAACCGACGTTGTCTTCACATCAAATCATTCTGTCAGAATATCCTTCAAGAGAAATATCACTTTTGAGGAGCCGATCTGTTACACCCTCAACCCATACTCGACCCAGATACGAGTCCAGGATGTCACATTGACTATACAAAACAATACTCTTAAAAAAAACGATAAAACATTTGAACTTATATTATTAAAATATAATAATATACATATGTTAATACAAGTTTATCAAAATACTCAGAGCATACACAACTTGACCCTTTGATTACATTCCAACATTCATATACATAACAAAAGGACCTACTGATTAAGTTGCCTCTGATCTGATAGTTGCAGGAGTAGTATTGTCCAGCTGCTTAACATGCCTCGTCTATTTTCTTGGATCCTACGTGTGAAACACTCACACGCTAAGTCATCGACTTAGTGAGACAATATAATAATAATAACAACAAGGAAATGTAATGAAAATGCCATAATAAGATGGAATGAGATGAAATCAAATACTTAACCATGCAGTTTATATCACCATGTTCCTTACCTATAAGCATAGTACATTAACATTCATGAATTCGTATTAATAAGTTTATTGACTCATGATACCATACTGAGAACCTAAGGTATGTAAATACTGTGAGGTTGTGTATGATGTCACCATAGCTCGTATAAATGCACCGAAGTGCCACGTAGAATTGCACTGAAGTACCGCGTAAAATTGCACTGTAGTGCCATATAAGATTGTCCCTAAAGACCACGTAGAAAATTCCTTAAGAATCATATATATATATGCCAAGGATCAAGTATGTGTCTCAAAAGGCCTCACACATGTTCCAAAGAATACATTTATGTCCCGAAGAACCACCGCGTAGACCCTCTACTCTTGGCATGCCAACCATACCTCTAGTTCTTATCTACATAACATAGGCTTTTCCCAAATTACATAGTATATCACATAGACATATCATTTCCTTACCTTAATCACATGGCTCATATAACTTTGCATACATATTCATTTAAAACATGTTACACAATGCCCATAATATAAATTCATATCATGCTTCACAATATGAAATGAATCATGCATCAATGTATTGAATCTAGACTTCTCACAAGTCTATAAATGAATATATCACTATAATCATATTATGCATATGCACTCACCTATATTTCTTTGTTTTTTCCTCGATCGATCTTATTGCGCAATCGCACTGGAACATATGTAGGCTCTGAATCTATATAGTAATTCATTGATACTTATCAGTATACTAATTAATATATTCTAAACTATAATTCCTTAGGCTAAAAGAAAAGCCATTTTCATCTTTTAATGAAGGTATGCATCGATGCACTACACAATGTATCAATGCATCCCTTGACGGGTGCATCGATGCACTATCTATGCATCGATACATAAATATCATTCGATGTTTGTATTTAAGGGGGTGCATCGATGCACTACTTGTGCATCGATACATTGATGGCATTCGATGTTTTTATTTTAAAGGAGTGCATCGATACACCTTGAATAATTTCTGGGATTTTATCCTTGATGCATCGGTACACATTGAATTTGCATCGATACACAGAGCCCAGAAATGTCATTTTTAGCACGAAATCCCTTTATAATCCCCTCAACACTACATAATTGTAACATCCCAAAATACGGGTTAGTGACTAAATTATAAAACTTCAAAATGTGTTGATTAAAGTAAGATATTTGAATAGTGTAATGATTTGTTCGGAAATATTTCCTGAAAATAATTAGTAATTATCAAAGGAATTAAGGGGCAAAATAGTCATTTAACATGAAAGATATTTTGTTATCTCTTTATGAAGAGATAAACGTTGGGGGAGAGTATTTAGAAAACTCTTCTTCTTCTTACCTTCTTCTTCCCCAACGTGCAGAGCATAAGGTGAGTTTTCTATTTGTTGGTTATTTGTTAAATTGAAGATTAGGTTTTGATCATTAGATGATAACTAAGCTTAAGGAAAGCTTAAGTTATCTTATAATCAAAACATGAAAAAGTTATATGAGATTTAAGAAAATGAGTTTTATATGAAATCATGGAATAGAGTTGATAAGTTGAATTTTATGTTGAATTTGACTTGTCATCTATGAGAATAAGAAGATAGAAGTGTTAGAATTGTATTTAGAACATATTGAAATTTGAGTATGATTCTTGAATTATATATGAAGGATAAGATTTTGAAGTTATAGATGATTTTCATGGATATAAGTTGGTTTAAGTAATGGTAGTTGAGTTTAATGACATGATAGGGGTTTAAAATAGAAGAATTAAGTGAAGAATTGATGATTTTCGGGGTTAAAATAAAATTTCTGGGTAGAGGGAACCGATACCCTATGAAGGGAATCGATTCCTCCTCTTGGACGAAAATTCCAGTATGTGCAGGGGGAACAGATTCCCCCTAGGGGGTATCGATTCCCCGGGAACAGATTCCCCCTAGGGGGGTATCGATTCCCCCTAAATGAAAAAATGGAATTTGATTCATTAAACTGGTTTAAGTTATTAACATCAAGTTTAAAGTTTAGGCTTCTGATAGTTGTTTTGAAATGATATATTTATGTAGATATTGAGCCTAAACAAGTTCTGGAATAATCAAAGGATTATAATCGAATCAAAGCAAAGCTAAGGTGAGTGCAATTTTAATTGTACTTATATTATTAAACGAACATTAGCTTGCGAGGAGCCAATGATGAAGTTACTATGGTAAGAAGTGACTCCTAAAATGTTATTTGATATGTGATTCTTATATATACATGAATACATGATATGCATAAACATAAGAGCATGAAACATAAGATACACGATATGATATATATGATTATATGCATATGTGATATATGCTATGAGATATGACCAATGTGAAATGAAATAAGCTATGTGAATATATGAAATGACATATGAATATGCAATATGTGATATGATATGAAATATATGGTTACACATACATGTAGTATGTAACAGAAGAGAAAGAACAAGTGATGAGAAATGTATTCATAATAAATGCCCATAGTATATGATACGAGAGTTATAGGTATAGTTGGCATGCCAAGAGTCGAGGGTTACATATGTCCTATAAGACATATGATAGGTCCTACGGGACACAGATTACATCCTTCGGGATGACAGGTCCTTCGGGACACAGATGACATCCTTCGGGATAATAGGTCATTCGGTACATTTATACGAGTTGTGGTGACATCATATGTGTGCACAACCTCAGTGTACTCGCTTACCTCTATTCTCAATAATATACATGGGCAATACAATTGAAAGATAAATTAAAGTGAAAGTGGCACAAAAAGGTAAGTTTTACATGTACATGACATGCTTATATATATGTTATCGTGTAATAGATACATGAATGTTGAAATGTCATGATCAAATGATAAGAATACATATTCATGAATTGGTTGTTAAATGTTTATTTATTGCCTCAATAAGTCTATGACTTAGCGTGTAAGTGATTTACACGTAGGTACCAAGAAACGAGAAGAGCAAGAATAGAAGTGGTAAGGACAATATTATTACTAGAAGATCAGATCAGAAGTAATCGACAGAGTATATATTTTGGTGTGTATAGAGTGTTGGCATGTTATAAGTCGTTAATTATGAGTACTCTGATGGAGTTTATATTTTGTGGTCATTTTTATGTAAATTAACGTATTTTGCTTTAAACAAAGTTTTAAATTCCTCTGTTTTTCAAAAGAGTCAAAGTTTGAAAAGTCAATGTGAC